GGAGCTCTTTTGAGCAAGCTAATCCTCTGCTCTTCAGATTGCCAAAATAATTACCTCTTTCAAAAGGGATCCAAAAGAATTCTGTTTTTACCTCCAGTTATAATAACGACAGCGCTGTAGAAAGCGAAGAATGCCTTTTTTGCCACAGATGTTTCATAAGCTTTGCTGCTAATTGTTTTTCCAGTAGGACTTAGATCATAAGAAAGCCGTTCACGTTCCCTTTGCTAAGGGATATTTGGGGGGCAGTGAAGATTCAGCACGTAATTACTCTGCAGAACGGAGGGCCCACCACAACATTTGAACTCGCTCTGGTCAGACGTGACTGGCGTTCATCCCGGCAGAGCCGTGTGGGCCGGAGTGAATCCAGGCGCTGAGACACGGACATGGGGTCGCGTGATGGCAAAGGGCCTCTCTGTCGGCAGGAGGCGTTCCGCTTGGGAACGGGGAAAGGCCTGTGCTTTTCCGCTCGGAATTTGTTCGTCCCTCACCAAGCTCGAGCTACAGCTCAGGTGGGCAGCCCTGAATAGACATCTGGGCGTCCTGCAATGGGTCAGAACACAAGGGAACAGCGTGAGAAATCTGTAGACCCGGCTGAACTCCGCTCGCTGAATCTCTGCGAGGCCCGTCTGGGGACCCCTCGGAGCGGAGACTTCCCTGCATCGGCTCCGTCTCGGCAGAGCTGTCCTCTTGCCCTCATCGCGCGAGTGTTGATGTCTTTCATTTTCTCCTCCTGCTGGGGAAATTTTAAACAGAAACCAGCCTTCCCCGACTGCACCGCCGTGCCTCGATGAGCAGAATTTGATTGCAGGGAGGCTAAGCTTTTCTTTTTATCGTCCTCCGCTCAGGAGTTGTGTTGGATGTGAAGTGGGATATCAATCCTGCCGATAAAGAAGGAATCTTTGTGTAATGGCAACACAGAATTTTAAAGAAACGATTTGTCCCCATCATCCATCTGGAGATTGCATCTTTGCTCACCCTCCCGCCTCCCCAAACCGTGACTTGCCAGCAAGGACTTCGGGGGCTCCCCGGACGAGGCAGCTGCCCCTGCACTCGCCAGGCCCCTCGTCCTGCATTTTCCCCTTCCGCACGGAGGTCAGAAAGAGCAGGGCTCCTGTGGCTTGTGTCCCAGCCACGCACGGCTGCCGGGTGCCCTTCGGCAGATGTGAAGCAAGGCGATTCAGGAGCAGCAGCTTCTTCGCTCTTGGCAGCTTCTCCGTCAGCCACACTGCTGGAGGCCCGGCGTTCTCCTTTCTCGTCTCGGGCCGCGGGCTTTGCTGCCGCTTCCTTTCAGCACCGCTGTGCCCAATCTGCCCAGACCGGTTTCCGGCTGTCGCCGAGGTGCGGGGCCTCCTTTTTGAGGCCTCCTCAAAGCAAGAAGCCCGTCCTTGGATCGCCTCTTCGAAAAGAAAACCATTTGCAGCATCTTTGCTCAGCTTTTCAGCTGGAAAAGCCCAGAGCAGCTCGTAAAGTTCAATCCCTGCACCAAGATTTACAGTCTCAAAACACTGCGTGAAAAGAGAAGGAACTGGAAGAGATTTCTGCTGATCTTGCAGGTCTCCTTTCAGAAATATCTGAGCCCCTTGAGCGCAGCGTGGTTCATGGTCACTGGCGTTGTGGTGCGGCATATTTGGAAGGCATCCGATTGCGAAGACAGCCCTAAAAGACAGAAACATATACCCTGAACTAGAGGGCGGGCAACTGAGTTTCCTTCTTCGTGTCCTCGAAAGCAGACAAGAAGACTCGCAGTCTCTTTCTGCCCCCTCCGTCGTCCGGGTGGCTGCATCAGAGCTGCTCAGGGTTGGCACCCCTTCAAATGCAGTCCCAAAAGGACTGCATTTTCAGGAGACTCACTCCAGGTCTCAAGATCTGTGGGAGAACCTGTTGCGGAATTGATGCTGGAAAATTGCCAAGTGATAGAGGCTCGCTTGCATCCCGAATCAAAACGCCGGCCTGGCCACTGTGCAGAGCTGACAGCCAGCTGTGAGTCCAAGGCAGCGCCTTTGCTTCCAGTGAAGGAGATCTTTGCAGCGGGAGCTGGAGCACGGCGGTGCGGACACGTTTGACCACAATCAGCCAGGGCGGTTTTAATGAATTGCAGGCACCGCACAGAAGCAGCAGCTTACGGGGCGTGTCTGCGCAGAAGGCGCTCCGAACCCGAGCGAGGGCAGCCAAAACCGCAGCCGAGCGCATTCCACCCGGTTCTCCAGCAAACCCAAGCATGGCGGGAGTTTTGCTTTTACAGAGCTTGGAACCGGGACAGCTTTGCTCTGGAATCCGGGCTGCGTTTTCGGGTGGCTCCAGCTGTGCGTCAAATGTAGTTGCCGTGCAGAATTCTTACAAGGTAGCCGCTCACCTCGAAGGCATTGTCATCACGCTAATGTGCACATACCATTCCCATGAAATCTCTTGCTAACCTTTTCCCCTGCTAACCTTCAGGGGGAATCACATTTCCATTTTTGGGCAGAATTCGTAAGAATGGGTAGTGGAGTCAGATGCAGAAGGGAAGGCGGAGGAGAGTGGCTGTCTGGGTGATTCTGAGGGCTCCCCTCCACCCCATTTGGGGAGTACCGCTTTGGGGAACTCTAACCTGGCAATCCCCCCCCCCCCCCGTTGAAAATCTGCCATTCCTTGAGAAAAATGCTTGCATTTCCTCCATACAGAACCCAGTGGCTGGGTGCACGCAATTGGGAAGAGACTCCTTTCGTTAGAGGACGCTGCCTGTGTAGGTCCCAGACATCTCCAAGCAAGGAGGCACCCCGAAACTGTGGGAGCCGCTCTTGGTCACTGGGCGGGACTGAACGGAGGGACCAAAGGTCCAGCTGGAAGGAAGGCTGTTCCTGGCCAGTGGAGACGATGGCAGTGATGCCCGTTTCTCTGTCCAGTGCTCAGGGCGGCTTCACGGCTAAGGCTGTTGCCTTCGAGCCAGCTTTGAAGCGAATCGGACCTGCACATTAGAATCATGGCGTTTTGCACGGAGCTCTCCGTGACCATTCAATTCTGCATTTCAGCAAGGGCCCCGGGAACGGAAGGGCCTTTTCCTAGGACTGAATTCTAAGACCGACACAATTCCACTGAAATGTGTGTGTTTATTCCAGCTGTCTGTCTCTCCTCTCCTGTGCGCTGTGTTGAGCGCCCAGCAACTGCCATCTGTGCCATGTGGCCTTCTGCTGATAAAAGTTTGGAAGAGGGGTTTGCGGCGTGTCCGTGCGTGCAGAGGCGTTTGTTCAGACTGCGTCGTCATCTTGGCACCTGGATCTCTGCAAGCTGCGTTCTGATCTCCGCAAACTGCCCAGGAAGGCTTTGTTAACGTTGCGAGATACGCTTCTTCGGGGAGGCAAAGCCCTTGGAAGAACGAACTTGTAATGAAAGACAGTGACGGGCTCCTTCATGCACAGGGCGTTCCCGCCCTCTCCCCATTTTTCCAGGGTCTCTTTTAGCAGAAGGGGGGGCTTTCATCCTGTACAAATGTTCCTCCAGACGCTTTCTGGGCCCGTGCAGACGGGTGAGATGCGCAGGGTCGTGCGCACGCTCCAGCCAAGCCCTTTCACCCGTGCCCAAGCCGCCTTGCCCGTCCTTTTGTCCAAAAATGTGATGTCGCCACTGCGGGGACGCTGCGGGTGTCTCATGGTGCCCTCCAAATGAAAAATACTCGTCGCACTTTTCTCGGTGCCGTTGCGCCCTTGGCGCTGTAATTCTGTTGTCAAACGGCTTGCACGTGGCCCAGAAATATGGGGAGGGTGTTTCAGGACGGCTTCTTCTGCAGCAGCCAAAACCGTGTGTCCCCCCAGGAAAGAAAACCAACTGGTACCCCGAAAGGGGCACGGTCAGTGACTGTTACCTCTTGTGCTGTGGGGGGAGCCCCACACGTGGGCCTGCCCGTGAGTAACGCCACAGGAAGCAAATCGGAGGCTGTTTGCGGCTGAGGAACGTTTCTGCCCTCGTCAGCCCTTGCAGCAAACCTCGACGGGGGCCTGCCCTGCCAGTCAGGTACACCCTACGAAAGCACAGACATCCTCAGAAGCTCAGCGGGTGATGCAGGCCCTCTTGCCGGGGGGGGGGCGAGGGGGGAACACGTCTCTGGCCTGTGACTGGGTGCAGGAGAGGAGCAGGTCACCGCCTGTCCCACACCTGGTCCCCGGGACACTCCGTTCCTCCGCTTGTCCTCACGGAGGCCCCGGACCGCATACCTGAGATGCTTCGCACTCGGGAGATGTTCAAAGCCGGGGTGGGGCCCCTGTGCCCAGATGAAAAACGGGCATTTATCGCGACACGCCCTCCGCTTTGTTCTCACGGGGCGAGTTAGTCATCCGCTTCGGGACTGGGCGTGCGAGCATGCCCAGGCCGCCTGGCACTCCTGATGTGGGACGGAGGCTCTCCGGTGGCATCGTGCTGCCACGCGTGACGGTTTCAGGGGTGGCTCTGGGAAGCGGCGCTGTGGCCAAAGATGGGGAGGTTTCAACATTTTGGAACTGATTCTTTCTTTAAAATAATTCCAGTAGCCGGTGAATCAGCTGCCAATGGCGTTTTTCGCCGTCTGGAAGTTGTGCTTGGCACGGCTTTGCTCCGGCGCCGAGCATCCGCTCCTTGGCTGCTGCAGCTGGACGCTGTGTGAACTGGTGCTGGGCCAGGAGAAATGCGGAGCTAGCGCAGGCCGTCGTCTCGCGGGGCGACCGTGGCTCAGATACCTCTCGGCCCGCCGGAGCGGGGTGGGCCGCCCTTCCCCGCCCAGAAATGGCGGCCTCAGCTCCGGCGTGCGCTCTGCCAAGCCAGAGGGATGCTAATAGAGCAGCTGGGCTTCCTCCTCCTCCTCTGGGAAGGAGACACGTGTGGCCAAGGAGTGCTGCCTCAGCATCTCCCGTCAGGCTCCGCCACTTCCATGCGAGGCCCCTGAGTTGCATCCACGCCAAGCCGCGCTTGAGGACAGCTGAAGTACGCTGCAGCAGATTCCTGCAGCGCTCCGGCGAGGCAAGGAGAGGGCACGGAGTGGCGGCAGACGGAGCATGGCCGCCCCCGTCCCCGCATCGCGGCTGCTGCTCCGCCCCGTGCTGCCCCGCTGGCTCCACAGCAGCAACGGGGGCAGGCCCGGGACCCTGCCCGGTTGTGCCGGTTTCTGGAGCCGGGCTCGGCCTGCCACTGCCCCGTCTTGCCTGTCTGCAAGCTTCAAAGGAGCTGGGAGGGCATCTGCTCACTGGAGAAATCGGCGAGGCCGGCAGCTTCGGTGTTTAACTGTGTCCATGCAGGGTTTGGCAAGAAATTAATCAGCACCAGGGGAGGAACTATGAGCGCCGAGCCCGAGAGAGCCCTTTCTTTAAAAAAAGACGCGCCGGAGAGCCCGAGCTTTGCATTAGTGCTTGGCTCTTGTCCAGAGCGTGCCCCTCCTCGGAGAAGAACTGCTTGTCTGGCTTGGCCTTCCCTGCAGCCGAAAGCAGCGGGGCCTGGGCTGCTTTGCAAGGAGAGACGCCCTCGGCTGACTCGCCGCGATCCCTCCGGGCTGCCGTCGCCCCCGGGAAGCACACCGCGAGGTCAGGAGAGCCAGTCCAGGCCGGCCGGCCGGCTGGCCCGCCTGCCTCCGAAAGCAAATTCATGGAAATCGGCCAGGGCAGGGAAATCGGTCACAGCTCCGCTCGCCCGGCGGAGGCCAGCAAACCTCTCGCGCACCGTGCCACGGAAGTGCGCTCCCATGTTCCTCTGGCACTGGTGTGCGTCGGCGCCAGTGCTGGGGAGAGCTTGCCGCATCGGCGAGGCCACCCCCGGCCGTCCTGCCCTCGCGCTGCCGGAGCCCACCTTGCTGGGGCAGGCGTTTGTGGGGAGCGGTTCTGCGTATCCGCCCAAACACTGGGGGAGCCGCTGCAGGGGCCCCATCGCTGTGAAAGGCCCCCTTCTCCCACGCAGGTTTTACGGCGCTCGGGGACGCCTTCCCCCAGCCACCTCGGGATGACCGGCCGGCGCGGGAAGCGAGGACCTTCTTGGGAGTGGCTCCCAGGCGCCAAATGCTCCCCCAAAGGAGGCCAGGTCGGCCGCCCGGAGCTCCCTGCTTCCCGGCTGAGTCGGGCATTTCAGTCAGGCTGCTGCGCCAGGCCCAGGCCAGGCGTTTGGGATCGGCGCCGGAGCCATGCCAAGGTGCGCAGAGCAGCCCTCCCGCTGCCCGGCCTGCACGGATGCTGCGCAGGTGCGTCGGACCGCAGGTCCTGGGGAACGGCCTCGCGGCACGTCTGGGGCCAGCCGTGTGCCACCCCCACCGCCAAGCACCCTCCTCTCAGCCACCCAGTGTGGGGGATGATGATGGGCCCTGCTCCGTTGCTGCTGCTGCTAGGCGTTTGGGGATCGGAGGTCCTTCGTCTCCCGTCCGCCTGCCTTCCGCTGCCCTTCCTTCCAGTAGTGGGGGATGAAGCGGAGGCAGGTGCATCCTGATGGGCTTTGGGGTGGCCCTGCAGCCGCCCCCAGTGGTTCCTGGGAATGTGCGGGGCCGTAAATAACGCGAGAGCCAGCGGGATGGGGCTTGCAGGGGTGGGCTTGGGTTGAGGTGAGGCCTGCCTCTTCCAGGGACTCTTACGATGGATAAATAAATCAGAAATAAAAACCTCCAGTTAGCTTCTCCCCTCCTGCTTTTGGATCCATTACTGGCCCAACAGGAAGAGAGGTCTCTCCTTTTTCTCCGCCGCATGCGTGGCTTTTTCCTATTGTTGGAGAGGCAGAGGAGGACTTGGGAAGGCCTGCCCTTGTGTATATAATCACACCTGTGTGTAATTGCACGTGTGGCCGGCCAGCCTCCGCACAGGCAGGGCCAGCGGAGCCAAAGTCTAAAAGCACTCGCTCCGGTCAGATATTTTTGCTCGCTGATAAGTGGCCGGTGGCAAAGAGCAGGGCCGGGAATAGCCCTTCCGCCAGGGAAAGGAGACGGGCCAGGAGAATGGCCCTGGGAAGGTGGAGTGGAGTCAGGCTCCCGCAAAAGCCCCTGCCTCCGCCGAAGGAGGAGAAGAGCGATGTATCAGGGTGCGGCGTGTTAGTCGAGGGACAGTGACGCCCCACAAGCGGCCCTTGTTCTTCCCGTTTGAGATGCTCCCCGTGGCAGTGGCTGGATTCGGGATGGAGTTGGCGGCGAGCGGTCGGCCGGTTAGCAGGACGCGCCCCCAGATTTCTTGGAAATGGGGGCGTGGGGGGCAGACACACGGTGTGGCTCTCCCGCCCCCGTGCCCCCAGCGCCCCCGTAGCGCTCCTGCAGCCCGGCCAAGCCGGCAGCGGCCCCGTCCCTTGCGATCCGCCCTTCCACCCGGTAACCTTGTTAACGTCCGTCGATTGAATCAAGTCAGCCAGTGCAACTCCCCTTCTATTCGTGCGTATAATTAAGCTGCTGGGGGCATTTTAATTACCCTGGCCTGGACGGCGCTTACTGGATTGCAGAGCCGGGCATCAATCACAACCTCACGGCCAGGCCTTCGCCTTCTCGGCCGGGCGGGCTTTGCGGAGCGACCGTCTGCAAGTGCCTTCTCGGCGCTTCCTCAGGGGAAACCTTCCGCGGAAAGTCGGAGCGAACAGCCCTTCCTTTTAGGAATGCATCCTTCATGACATGACACGCTTCAAGTTTGTTTATTTTTAACACGGCCCAAAGCATTCCGGACAGAATTTTCCAGCACACGAGGTGCAGCATTTTAATTTGGGGGCCAAGAATGCCTTTGAAATAAACTCCAGGAGTTTGTCGTGCCGTGCGTTGCCCTGAAGGAGAGCTGCATCGCTCACGACTGAAGGGAAAATTCAGGATTGGGGGGAAAGGCCGTGCTCTCGAAAGGGTGACTTTGGGTTGGGGAAGGACGAGCGTGACCACAAGACAGAGGAACCTTCCCCGAAATGCTTGGTGTTTAAAAGAGGGTTTGGCGAATTAACGGAGGGCAAGGCTGCCAATCATGATGCCTTTCTGTAGTCTTGAGTGGTCTCAGGGTGGGTCGCCGTGCAGTGGGCCTGCGCCCGTGGGCCCGGTAAGCTTCTGCTGGCCCTTGGGAGCAGGCTGCTGCTGAACTGGTGCAGCCTCAGGCTGACCGGGCACAAACCTCCTAGCCTGCTCGGGGGCAGAGAATTCCCGGGGCCTGGCGAGTCGAATAACGGGGGCTCGTGCTTTGCAACCGTCGGGCTCCCTAAAGCCAAGAGTGTCGAAGGGAAACCGACTCCTCACTCTCTGTTTCGTTTCAGATGGGAAGAGGAAGTGGCCAAGCGGGTGAGCCTGGAGTCCATGGTGGAGACCCTCCAGGAGGTACGTCTTGCTGAGCGGCGGCCACGGGCCTGTGCTCCTCCGGGGGCCCATCCCCCAGGCGCCCCCGGAACCGGCCGGGTTTCCTTGCCTCCGCACGCGCGCTTCCGGCAGCTCGGAGCGCGTGGCTGGCACGGGAGGGGGCCAGTTCAGGCTGGGGAGCAGATCCGCGCACGTGCAGGTCATGGGACGGGTGCCCCCGAGGCGGCTCCTTCTGCTGCAACGTCCGGCGGGAAGGAGGGGAAGGGGGTGCCCAGAGGGGAGGCACAGAGGCGTTCCCGGCGCAAAGGTGGGATCGCGTAGGGAGAGGCCTTTGGGGAGGGGGTGGCGAAGGGGCAGAACCAGCCGAGCCGGCCGATTTTAGCTTCAGGCTGTTGCTGCCCACCAGTCAGCTGTAAGGCGGAGGTGCTTCGGCCTTCTAGAACAGGGAGGGAACCTGCCCGGAAGCTGGGAGACCCTCCAGGGAGCACCGGCTGCAGGTGGGAAGGGCTGCGGCCTTCCGGGCAGCCCTGCAGGGCCAGACTGGGGCCCCCAGAAGCCTGGATGTGGCCCCCGTGTTCACAGACCTGCCCCCTTGGGCCCCTGATGCACTTTAGAGGACTGGGGGTCTCGAGACCCCCGGCATTTGAAGCCGGCGTCTGCCGGCGATCTGCTCGGGTCCAGTGCATACCGACCCAGAGCTCGCAGAGCAGTTCCGTTCTCGCAGCCCGTTAGTGCCTGGCTGGAGCAGGGCTGAGTTCGTCCCGTGAGCGTTTATCCCGCGGTCCGTCTCACTGCCCGTCTTCCTTCCGTCCCTCCAGGAAGCCCAGGAGGCCGAGACTCTCCGGGAGGAGTTGAACCAGAAGATCGAGCGGCTGAAAGCGGAGCTGGTGGTCTTCAAGGGCCTGATGAGCGACGTAGGTACCCAGCCCGGCTGCGGCCCGTGCCAGGGATGCCGTGCTCTGGCTCCGCCGCCGAAAGCGTCCGCCGCCCGGCGAGCGCTGCTTGCAGTTGTGGTCTGGCTGCCTGGAATGCCCACGACCCCCCCCTGCTCGGCCTCCCCGCGCTTCCTGTCCGGCCTGTGTGGATGCGCCCCCTTGCCCCGTGTCGCCCGCCCTGACTGGGCCCCGGGCCCCCGGCCAGCGGTGCTGAGGCCCCGGAGCAGGAGGCAGCGGGAGCAAAGCCGGGGAGCGTCCCGCCTCGTCCCGCGCTCTGCACTGCACGGGTGCCGCCAGATTCCCGTCCCCGAAGCACCGCAGGCCAGTCCAGAGGTGGTGTGAATCGCGCCTACGCGTGTGTAAGCAGTGCACACACAGGGGCTTTGAATGCCATTTTAGGGGCGGCTGCTTTGGAGTCTTCACCTTGGAAAGAGTGTCAGAGCCAGTAGAAAGGCTGGGAAGGTGTCGTGCAAAGGTTGTAGTCCTCATGAAGGAAGGCTGTTTCCGACGTCCCCCGCTTTTGCCTTAGGATGCAGTTGGCATCTTATGTCTCCTGGTTCACAGCAAGGCCTTCCCAGTCCTCTTCTCCTTTTTGCTTCGTAGCTCAGTTTTGCTTCCAGCAGGCGACTTTGGACGTTACCCTGGGATGCGCCGGGAGTTCCTGGCCACAGCTTCCACCACCGAAAACAAGAGCTGTGGCCAGCCCGGGGGCATTTCTCTCTGGGGCGCCTTGTGGCGCCCCATCTTTGTTCCGGATCTCTCCACTCTGCCTGCTACGGGGAGGAGCTGTCGCATGTCCCCCTAGCACTGACTGTTTCGAGTTGTAGAGCACCAGAAGGACCAGAATGCTGGGTTCAGACAACACATCAGCTCAGGCTTCACCCGCAGCCAGCCTCGGCTCTTGAGCGCTGGCTACGGTATCGTTTGAACCCAGTCGACAAGCCCCAATTTCATCTTCTAGCTTCCGTAGAAGGTGGCCAGAGTCCAGCCAGTCCCTCTTGCACGAAGGGGCTGCTCGCAGCAGGACGTGCGTTGACAAGATTTCCCGTGTAGGTTCCCAAAATAATTGCCTCGTGGACCAGAAGTGTTGGGTCGAGGGTTTGCCCCTAAGCTGGCATCCTCCCCGGACGGTCGCTTCAGCTGGAAGTCACTCGGGCGCCGGCAGTGCCGCGTCCGCGTCCCCGAACGAAGCCTCCCCCCCCCCCCCGGCCGCCCACATCGCGGGAGGGCAGGTGGCGCTGCTGGCCGCGTCCTCCCCCAGGCCTTCCCTCCCGCACGGTATTAATGGCCGATTGTGCTCGCTGTCCTTCCTGCAGCCCCTGACAGACCTGGACACAAAGATCCAGGAAAAGGCCATGAAAGTGGACATGGACATCTGCCGGAGAATCGATATCACCGCCAAACTGTGCGACGTCGCACAGCAGCGCAACTCCGAGGACGTTTCCAAGATCTTCCAGGTGATTAGGGCTTGCCCCGTCCCCCCAGAACGCGGCCTGGCTAGGGAGCAGAGAGAGAGAGAGAGAGAGGTTGAGGAGGCCGAGCGATGGATGCGGAGTCCCCGGCTCGGCATTCCCCGTTGCAAAAATGAGGGCTTCTTCCCGTTTGCCTCCCGCTTCGTGTGCTCGGCTCGTCGGGAGAAGTCCGGCCGGCGCAAGGAGCTGCTGCCTTGCCCGTCGGAAGGCCCCGTGAAGGCTGGGCCTTCGCGGGGCTGCCCGGCCCCCGGTTTCTTGCACGGGCTCCGCAGAGGGAGTCTCGTGACCGGGGAGGGCTGCAGCCCTGCTTTGGGAGAGGCCTTCCAGGAGGTCCCCCGGAGCCCCCTGCGAGGGCACAGGGCCGCCGTGAGGCTCCACCGGGCCTGTGCCGAGCGAAGCGCACCAGCCAGGGCTCTCCGGCTGCAGCGTCCGGGGCGGATGCTGCGCTTGCCCTCGGCGGCACGCGGCAGCGGCTCAGGTCGTCGTCCAGGCCCGGCTCCCCCGAGGCGCCCCGTCGTCCCCTGCTTTCCTGCCCTGCCATTCCGTGCCGGGGCACCTCAGTCGGAGGGGCCGGCGTGGGGCTGTGGCGTGTTCAGCCCCGGGCATCCCCGGACCCGCGATGGGCGGTGATCGACGCTTGGCGCTTGCGGGCAGCTTGCACCCGGGCCTCGGCGTGGCCCAGCAGCTCTCCCCGGGGCTCTCCTGCAGGACCACTTTCCCTGGGCCGGGCTGGCCCTGTCCCGAGGCTCCTGCAAGCTGCCCAGCCCGGCCCAGCCGCTGAGGCCCAGGAGGGGCGTGAAGCCGTGCCTCTCACCCCCGGCCTGCCCCCCGAGCACCCCCAGCCGCTCCTGCCCCGCGCATGGCGGCCCGAGCGGGTGCGCCCCGGTCTCCTGCCAGGCCCTGGCCGCTTGCTTCCGCTCTGTGCTGTCGCAACCCGCTTCCCGTGTGCTGCGCTCTGCCCCGCAGCATGCACAGCTGGACCACCCTGGCGCACCCCAGGGGGTGGGGGGGCGTCCCGCCACGGGGTGGGCTGCTCCGGGAGCTGCTTCTGCCCCTGGCCGCCTGGGGGCTGCGCTCCTGCGCCCACAGGAGCGACGGGAGGGCACGGGGAGGCGGTTGCTGCTGGACTTGGGGGCACACTGCCGCAGGGAGCCCCGCGGGCCGCATCCAGCTGGGAGACGAGCAAATGTCACCCCCCCC